ATTAACATTGAACCCTCAGGTCGCATCTGGTCGTTTGGGCTTAGGGGTCATCTTGAAGTGCATCCAAACGCATTCACTAGCAGCTTTCACACCCCGTCCCGTTGTAGGCTGCGGCAAGCTCTGGCAAGTAGAACCTGTAGCTGTTTGCCGGAGAGGCAAGCTGCGGAACTCCATCAACTCACCAACTAGTAGCTTCTAACTTCTAGCTACTAGTAGTAATGCCGGGTTCTACTAGTAGCTTCTTGCTACTAGTAGTAAGGTGCCTTGCTACTGGTAGCTTCTAGCTACTAGTAGAAATGCCTTTGTTACTAGTAGCGATGCCCTTGCTACTACCATGTGTTCTCTGGAAAGACTTGGCAGCCTTCGAATTGGCAGAGTTGAAGTGACGAACCACGACGCCAACGGAAAGCGTTCCGTCTCAAGGTCACACCACAACCCACACGGCCCACTTAGGTACAGAACCCTTTGCGTAAATTCATCCAAAGACTCAATAAAAGGTCAGCTTGTGGATTGGATGCCAAAAGGTCTTTAATTTCAAACTGAGCTCTCCGGATGAGCCAGGGAGAGCCACAGTGAGCCAGGGGGAGCCACTGTGGCTGCCCACTTTCACACAGTTCTGGTCTAACCCGCACGGGCAGCCAGGGTCTCTTCTTGCCAAACGATGGGGGATTGCCATGCTCCTGGAGTAGCCTCTGGGGCTATGCACTGTTGCTGCAAAAACACCCAACTCCTACTGTACTTTGTCTATACACCAGCACTAAGCTCGCAGCCCACCACTACTATCTACTGTACTTTATGCATTTTTATGTATAATCTGTTGCTAGGACCTGAGCAGGACATCTAACTTCTTCTTTGACACCCCAAGCGCAAACTTTCCACTCAGCCAGTCCACTCAGCTTGCATATCCTCTGTACCCTGTGCATCCTCCACATCGGCCCGAATCTGGGAAGCTGGCTTGCCCGGAGGTGCTTCGAAGTACCACTTGGACCTTCCAGGCCGTGCGTGGTAGACACTCGGCCGTCCTTGTTTTGAACCCACCAAGGAACTACTGAAGCAGCTTGCAATTCTGCAAAAAATACACAAGAAACATCTGTCAGGCCGTCAGGTGACTATATAAACTGTATAGCATTCTGTAGCATTCTGTTGTTCTTGTGGTGTGTGCTTGTTTCGTATTGTTCATTTACTGTAATTATGTGTTCTCTTCCGGTGTCCAACCATGACAGCGGAATGTCTACTATGTTCAAGATGATAAATACATACATACAGACTCTAGCGTTGAGCTCCCAGCACCCATCGTTCCATTCCATGCTTGCATCGTGGTTTCATGGTAGCCATCAGACCCGTAACACGCATACCACGGATTTGTGCCCTGGCTCTTGTTATGTACTTTACTCGGCTGTGCTTTGTTTCGCTCCAACCGATCTCACCAAGCGCCAAGCTGGTCACTGTTGGTGTCAAAGTTGATGTATTGAACCTCATCAGTGCCTCATGTTGGCGGGAAAGGACTCGACTCAAGTCCAGAATGTTTCTTTGTCAACACGACTTGTTTTACTAGTTGCATGATGAATTGCAATTGCTTTGGGGGGTTCTGTTTGGAACCCCACACGCACACCACAACCGAAATATAAAAGTCAAAGCGTGCGTCCAAACTTCCTGCAGCCAGCTGAGCTGATCAACCACACTGAAGTGGTGGGGCGGATACCGAAGTGCAAAGAAGTTGCCACTGGACCACCTAGTCTTGGAAACAAGTTACGGAGAAGAAAGAAGAAGGTGAAACAAATCATCCTTGTTTCTGGCACAAGTCACAAATTCGGACACTTGTTGCCTCAATTTGGCAACACGTCTTGTGTGACCAACTGTTGAATTGCTTGGAGACGGCCTTCCCTGCTCACACTCACGAGACGGACGCCAACGACTCGCCGG